ACAACGTGTTGCTCGCGTGCGGCTCCACCGACTACAAGGCCCGCATATTCTCGGGTTTCATCAAAGAGGTGGACAAACGAGAGGGCGAACCCACGCCGTGGGGCGGCAAGTGCAGTACCGGCGCTCTGGTGGCCGAGTTTGGCTCAAATAGTGGAGGTATGTGTTGGTTGTTGTGGTGTATGTTTGGTGTGTAATAACCTGTGTATTGATTATGTGGGGTCAGGGGGTTGGGTGCATAACGTGAGCTTTTCGCCGGACGGCAACCGACTGGCGTGGGTTACGCACGACTCGAGCATTTCAGTGGCCGACGCCAACAGAGGGATGGCTGTGTCGACAGTGAGGACACGCTTTTTGCCTTATTTGACGTGCGTTTGGTCGGCGCCCGATCTGATTGTCGCCGCCGTAAGCATTTTGATGCATTTGATGGGAAAGGCATGTTTTAAGGTGTATTATGGCTGTCCATAGGGTCACGACTGTTGTCCGATGCTATTTAAGTATGATATGAGTAAAGCTGAGCTCAATTTTGTGGATAAAGTGGACAAATCGCTTAAGAAAGAAGTGGACGGATTCAGGTATGGCTTGTATGGAGGGGTTGACCATTGGGTGGTTGTACTCAATGTTTGTTTGCCTTTTAGTGCTAAAAAAATATTTCAAAATATGGATAAACGAGGGATGAGTGCCGATAATAATATAAGTGACACTCAATTGGATTCCATACACCAGAACACCATTTCCGAGATACGGGTCTACAGCGGATCCAAATCGGGTGCCGACAAGATATCGACGGTAGGCGTCGACGGGCTTATGGTTATCTGGGATTTAAAGGTATGTCTTGTTTTGATGGATCTGTTTGTTGTGTTTTAAGCATTGAATTAATGGTTAATTGATGCCATATTACAGGCTTTAGAGGCGTCGCTAAAGGGACTCCGAATCGTGTGATTAAATGATAATTAATTTATAATTTAAATTAAATTCCATTCATATGTTTGTCACAAACAAACAACAACTTCATCACCAAAAATAGCAAAACAAACAAAACTTCGCATTGAATCGTTTAACGCAAACAACTTGTCATTGAATTATCATTAATTTTATTGGTTTTGTTAATCGACGCAAAACTGAAGATTCGGTTTTGGATTTCGATATCGAAAACGGATTTCTTAGTTACAAATTGAAGAAAAAGTTTATTTTTAATTAATTTTCATCGAAATTGACGGCCAATCGCTTCCATTCGCTATTAATTTGAAGGCAATTTGAATCCCAAAAAACTAAACTAAACATTAATTGCAATAAAAGTCTTAATTAATTGATGAACGAAATGATAGAGAAGATTGTGAGGCGTCCAACCATTCGCACTGTCTGTCTGTGCCTTTAATATAAAACTATTGACAAATTGCTCACTAATTGTCGGACACACTCTTCGCGTATATATTTTGCAAACAAATGATGAGAAAAAGAGATTTTATTCACTGATTGGATGACAGCCACTGATCAGAGAGAAGACTCGTGTGATTTTGGTTTTGAAAACAATTTCATTATTTCTACTCTTCGCGTATATATTTTGCAAACAAATGATGAGAAAAAGAGATTTTATTCACTGATTGGATGACAGCCACTGATCAGAGAGAAGACTCGTGTGATTTTGGTTTTGAAAACAATTTCATTATTTCTGGACTTAATTTACTTTCAAATTAAACTCCAAGTATATATTGAATTACTATTGAATGTTAAAGAATTAGTATAAGAAAACTATTCAATTTGTATTATAAGTTAATAGGAAATTATGATTTTTATGTCAATTGAATCAAAGGTATATGATTTGAATGATTGTATGAAATTATGGCGAAAACTAATGTCTAAACATTTCACACATTTTACATAAGACACGATTTACAGAGTTTTATTGTTTTTGAATATTATTTTTTCTTTTTTCATTAATTAAAATGCCATTAATTCTGTTGTAATTATTACTAATAAAATAAATTTTAAATTTAATTAATTTGTGCCTTAAATAATGTGATTATAAGTGTTGGAAAGTTATGAATATTATTGAATAACTTGATTGCATTGCAAGTGAATGTAGTAAAAGCATTGTTATGATTACATTCACTGATTTCTAATACAACTCTTGGAAATGAAATTTTTAATAATAAAATGACGATAAAAATGATAATAAAAAGGTTTTATTGAGAGTTGTTTGAGTGCTGGTGATAAGCCCTGTCCCGGGGCTGTGCTCTCAGAGAGTGTGCGCTCACTATTCATAAACACAATGATTATTCAGCTTAAGAATTGATTCAATAGTAAGGGTTTATGTCTGTTATTATACCATAACTTATTACTAATTCTGGATTATGTGCTAATTATATGCTATTTATATGACTATTACTTTTAAATTAAAGTTTTCATTAGAGATGTGAATTAATTTATATATCAATTATATGCAGGAGCAATTTTCTAATGCATTGGAAATTTGACTGTCAATGGATAATTGAATTATTGAAAATTGGCGACAATTTTGACATAAATTTATGTATTTTGCAAATAAACCAAAGAATATATATTTGAATAAATTATAGTATACTTTGAAATTGAGATTCAATTGATAAGTGAATCACAAAAATGGTCTCATTATCTGTGGTGTCCAACAAACTCTTATTCATCACTTACTTCTTGTTTGCCATAATTGTGTCCATTTGTCGCACAAAAGATGATAAAAGTTTTGAAGAGGAGGCCTATGGTGTGAAGTATGCCAACGATTGCGAAGGTTTGTACTTCTTTGACATCCCTTTCCATACAATGGACTCAATTATGAATATATCGATGCAATAGTTTGCAAGTATTTAGTCATTGAATTGGAGGGAAGGCTTCAGAAAACTGCCAAAACTCATGAAGTGATTGAAACCGGATATGGATTTGACGACAAGACTCGTCAGAAGAAGAAATATGTCATTTCGTATGAATTCATTCATTACATCCTCTCAGTTATCATCAATTTCTTAACCAATCATTGAATTTCTGGTTTACGTTTCCTTATGAAGTGAACTCCGATTAGTGGAGTCTTTGGACGGCATTTGCGAGACTTTACTCGAGTATAGTGTCCACAAAGAGCGCAAAGACAGCACAAGATTTGCCAAAGGGATGAGCACTACGTTTAAGACATTGCATGGATTGGTAGACAAAGGCGTGAAAGTAGATCTCGGAATGCCTTACGAGTTATGGGATAAACCATCCGCTGAAGTGACACAAATGAAGACACAGGTCTCTCTCTCTCTCTCTCTCTCTCTCTTTCTCTCTCTCTCTCTCATTAATTAATTGTATTTAATATAATTATAATTCATAAAAGTGCGAAAACCTTCTGGAAAAGCACGAGTCAGACATCGAGAACTGGTATTTCAATCATCAGGACCAACCCCTCCAGAACTACCTGTGCATCGATAGGGCCCTCAAAAGAGGAGACTCCGGGTGTCTGAGCGAGAAGTTGGACGACAATAAGGAAAGTGACACAAAGAGTAGTGATAAACGCGAACTTTAATGGAGTTTTCTAACTAATATTTAAAACAATTTTTATGCCATTTTTGATGAATTGGTTAAACATTTTGATTTGTGTGAATCAAACACTCAATGAGAAAATAGAGATTAAAATATATATTTTCAAACTTAACAACAAATGGTACAAACAGTGAGACAACAGATTCGTACAAAACTATAGGATTTGTATAATAACTATAATAATAATGTGATCTCTAATTGACGTTGAGTTTGAAAAACTCGGGCAGTTTTCCCGTCCGCTTCTGCCAGAAGTAGTCGTAAATGAGTTTAACGATAACCAGAAGAATAACGGACGCTAACAACCAATTGATAATCTCGAAAATCTCGATCGGATCCCTAGATTGCGGACATAACTCCGACTTCGGTATCCTTAAGAGTACTCTATTGGCAAACCGTTTATCAAAATACTCGGAATACAAGCCATTGCGGGGTTTGGTATCAAAGGGCGGGGCGGCGGCGCACTTGATGTTATCCACGTCTTTGACGGACTTAAAGTGGTTCTGAAGCCATGTCTGGAAGTTGACGGTATGGCAGTCGCAACGCCAGGGGTTCTCAGAGAGATATAACTCATCCAAATGTGACAACTGATCCAATATGTAGACCGGGATCTCACGGATCCTGTTGTGCGACACATTGAGTGCCACCAAACTCTTCAACAGATTGGTCTTCTCGAGGCCCACAAACGACTCGATGGTGTTGTTGTTGAGGTGGAGGTACGTCACGTTACGCCACTCACTCAACGCCACCGCCGATGATAGAGATATGTTCTTAATGTCGTTGCTGTCCATCCGCACGATCTTCGTTTTGGACGGCAAACTCGATGGCAGTGCTGAGAGTCGTCTGTGGGAACAGTTGACAGACATGGCCTGATTGTTGCGGAGGACTGTGCACTCGCATTGGCCACAGACTGGTGTCGACAACTGAGACAATCGTTGCGCGAATTTCATGTCCTTAGCGGCCGCTGGTGTCCGGCAGTGGATGTCATCTCTGTCTAAGACATGGCGCGACGGGTCTGTGGCGTACTTCAAGAGCCAAACCAACTCATTATCGCAGTCCCAGTGGTTGCCCGACAACGATATGGTAGCCATTCTGTGGTCAAACTCTTTGATTGACTTCAGGCTGTTGTTGGACAACAAAATTGTCCGCAAAGAACTCAATGGCCGTGAATTGAGATCAACTGAAGTCAAGTTATTGTGACTTAAGTCCAGTGAAATGAGTCGACTGTTTGGCGAGAGTATTGTCTTTGAGGGGAACTCTTGTAACCCATTGTTCGTGAGGTTGAGTCGCTTTAGTTGATCCCAAGACGAGAATAAATTGCTCGGCATTTGTGACCAAAATGTTTGGCTAATCGTCAGACTATCGACGAGACTATTTGGCGATGATTTGATCCATTGGATGACTGCCGAGGAATTGCTTTTCCAAATGTTTACGTCTTGTAGGGCCAAGTGATGTGATGATGAAGTGTTGCCACAAATGGTGTCTTTGTTATGACGGATCCAATCCATGGCATCACTCAATTGGTCCGCACTATCAATACCCTCGCAATCCAGTGAATAATGGATTGATTTGTCAGTTGATGTCAAATGATAGGCGAGAAGACACTTGTGGTCACCGATACGATAGTCGATGGGAACCGATTCCATACATTTATCTCTCGACAAGTCATCGGCGGTCGAGTGGGTGAACAAAACGGCGATAAAAATGTATTTACGGATCAAATTCAATGTCTTTGTACTCATGTTTGGCCGATATTTGTGGTGATCAACCATTCAATGGTTTTTCTCAACACATTTGACACCAATTTGTTGATTAAATAGTGTTTTGAATGAAAAATAATTAAGTTTTTTATAATGAATCCAAAACCCAATCAAACAATTGGTTTGTATTTAGACTTCATTTTCATGTGATTATCAAAAAACACAAAATATTTTGACTTTTATTTTGTAAACAAATTATGAAATGATTTCTAAAAATATTTTTTCACTTTTAAAACCACTTTCAATGCTAACAAATGTCACATCAGTTTGTTTTACAACAGTTTACACACTTATATATGACATATAAAAATATAATTACTTTTTTGGTCTGAAGTTTGTATTCAAACTAAACATTAATTTCTAAATTAAATCCGAAAAACAAAAATTAATTCATATTTTCGTCAAAAAAGTGTCAAAACAAGGCTTAAGTGGTATTGATTTCTATGACAACCAATGCTTTCAAATGACTTTCACTATAATTACGAGTCTATAGATTAGCCAATAGTGTGCGGATTGAGAGGTGTTTGCGATTAACAGTGAATTGAATACAAAAATCCAATTATTGTCTCATTTGTCGCATAATCGCGTGAATTGTGTTATCACTGAATGAGATATGAAGTGCGAGTCGTTGTGAAGCACTGGTAGTCTATTGGAAGCACTGGTAGTCTATTGGGAGTCAATACAACACCTCATTGTATGACAAACCCAGTGCTCAACCATTTGTCGCACTCTTATTCCTAATATACTTTTTATTCCTCGGCAGCGGTCTTACCATTTGAAGCATTCATACGATTACCGGACGCACAGACACATAGACACCAGTCCTCCATAATGTCAACGCCTAAGGATAGGATCAACACTATTGCCAGACATCTGCAGACAAACGCCGACCAATTGTCCACTTCATCCATACCTAAGAAAAGGTTTGTTGATATCATGAGGTTTATGAATGACATGGACTGACAATGTCTTGTGCGGTGATCGGCGGCCAGGGAGTCGTTACTCAAGTGGAACGGATGGGGATATAAGGACTCGAAGTTCGAGTTCGACGAGAAGAACCACAT